TGCTGTCAGTGCGCCGTGAACGTGCTGTCAGTGCGCCGTGAACGTGCTGTCAGTGCGCCGTGACCGTGCTGTCAGTGCGCCGTGAGTGTGCTGTCAGTGCGCCGTGAACGTGCTGTCAGTGCGCCGTGAACGTGCTGTCAGTGCGCCGTGAACGTGCTGTCAGTGCGCCGTGAACGTGCTGTCAGTGCGCCGTGAACGTGCTGTCAGTGCGCCGTGAACGTGCTGTCACTGCCGATATTGCCTGCGGTCGTCTATACAAGTACTCGATATAAAACCCAATACTTTAAGCCTTAGGCATATATGTATTATCCCATATACACGTGGATATGTACAAGCATCCGATATAACCGCGTTTGGTGTTTATATTTTCTGTTCTTTTACAACACAAGTCTCAAATTAATAATGGGGTTATAAATCTGCGGTGTAAAAAGAGGGGGGGGGGCGAATAATCATATTGATATAGTTCAGGGGCGTGGAAGAGGTGTGTGTGACCCCCAAGTTATCCATGGACCACACGTGTACATACTTGGAATACTTGGACTACAAACTTTATTCGGCCTGCTTAAATTATCACGCCTCTAACCTGTTGCTGTCCAACTGTTGGTCACCTTACAATTCACCTTTACATGCCACATCCATGTGTTGGTTGTATCACCTGACTTCGCGCTCTTCCTTCCTATCTCTATTATCCACATTGCTTTCTATCATCCAAATTGATTTCTATCATCCACATTGCTTTCTATCATCCACATTGATTTCTATCATCCACATTGCTTTCTATCATCCACATTGATTTCTATCATCCACATTGCTTTCTATCATCCACATTGATTTCTATCATCCACATTGATTTCTATCATCCACATTGATTTCTATCATCCACATTGATTTCTCTCATCCACATTGATTTCTATCATCCACATTGATTTCTATCATCCACATTGCTTTCTATCATCCACATTGATTTCTATCATCCACATTGATTTCTATCATCCACATTGATTTCTATCATCCACATTGATTTCTCTCATCCACATTGCTTTCTATCATCCACATTGCTTTCGATCATCCACATTGATTTCTATCATCCACATTGCTTTCTATCATCCACATTGCTTTCTATCATCCACATTGATTTCTATCATCCACATTGATTTCTATCATCCACATTGATTTCTATCATCCACATTGATTTCTATCATCCACATTGATTTCTATCATCCACATTGATTTCTATCATCCACATTGATTTCTCTCATCCACATTGATTTCTATCATCCACATTGATTTCTATCATCCACATTGATTTCTATCATCCACATTGCTTTCTATCATCCACATTGATTTCTATCATCCACATTGATTTCTATCATCCACATTGATTTCTATCATCCACATTGATTTCTATCATCCACATTGCTTTCTATCATCCACATTGATTTCTATCATTCACATTGCTTTCTATCATCCACATTGATTTCTATCATCCACATTGCTTTCTATCATCCACATTGATTTCTATCATCCACATTGCTTTCTATCATCCACATTGCTTTCTATCATCCACATTGCTTTCTATCATCCACATTGATTTCTATCATCCACATTGATTTCTATCATCCACATTGCTTTCTATCATCCACATTGCTTTCTATCATCCACATTGCTTTCTATCATCCACATTGATTTCTATCATCCACATTGCTTTCTATCATCCACATTGATTTCTCTCATCCACATTGATTTCTATCATCCACATTGATTTCTATCATCCACATTGATTTCTATCATCCACATTGATTTCTATCATCCACATTGATTATTACCAACGCATTGATTTCATCATCTGTTTTCTCCCCCCGCCCCAGGGCCCCGACACCAAGCTGACGTGTCTTGCTAACCCAGGCTGATCGAGCAATGGCATCGTCTTCTTTTTCTGAAGGACCAGCTAGGATTCCACGACTCATCTTAAGTGGCTTCCAATAGCTGTCAGGGCTTCCGTTTCACCTCCCCCAACAGTGGACATTATCTGCCCGGGAGTGGACATTATCTCTCCAGCGGTGTAAATTATTTCTCCAGTGGTGGACGTTATATGCCCAACAGTGTTACCTCCCCAGCAGTGGACATTATCTCCCCAGGAGTGGACATTTCCTCCCAATCAGTGGACATTACCTCCCCAGCAGTGGACATTATCTCCCCAGGAGTGGACATTTCCTCCCAATCAGTGGACATTACCTCCCCAGCAGTGGACATTATCTCCCCAGGAGTGGACATTTCCTCCCAATCAGTGGACATTACCTCCCCAGCAGTGGACATTACCTCCCAAGCAGTGGACATTTCCTCCCAATCAGTGGACATTACCTCCCAAGCAGTGGACATTACCTCCCAATCAGTGGACATTACCTCTCAAATCAGTGGACATAACCTTCCCAGCACTGGACTCTACATCTCAAGAAGTGGACATTATCTCACCAAAAGTGGACATTGCTTCCCCCCGGAAGTTGACATTTTTTGCTTAAAGCTTGCTATTGATTCGTCTCGACGAAAGCTTAAGTCCCCCCCCCCCGCGCTCCAGTGCAGACGCCTGGCCTTAAGTCATCATGTCTTGACCGGCTCCCAGTCCTAGGCTCGCTCGTTAGTATGCTGGGGCCGCATGAAGATCCATCGGTCCATAGTAGATGGATGAATCAAATGTCTCAGACATCCACAATGGATTACTGTAGTTTCTCACACACATCTTGAAGCACATCGTGTACCCTGGTGACTACAGCACGGGAATCACTGACTGGGGTCTCTGTGTCAGCAGTTCTAACATTGCTCTATCGCAGTGGACGTTGTGGAATCAAATCTCACTTCAGACATTTAAAAAATCAAATAGACCTTCATAGAAGCTTGGGTAAAAGTTCACCTACGGGAATTTCCCTTCGCTTGTTAGATTTACACACACACAAAATCTGTTCGTCACGTGGTGCAAAGTGTCACGCCCATTAAATCTAACCGCATGAGGCACAACCATATTCTGGTGCCGAAGGCTATAAATCAATACACGACGTGATTATCTGGGGCACTTACTAAAGTGTTTTAGATAACCCGAGACTAGGACGAGGGTATAAATCAGCGGAAAGAATTAACATAGGCCTGGAGAATAAAAAGACCCTATTTCTCCGAAGTCGATTGCACAAAGGCTTTGTCATTGTCCTACGTGAGATTCGGTCTAGTTACCAGCAGTCATATCCATAAACTAACTGGCACATCAATATTGGATTAAATGATACATACTAACTGTTCTGGGAATCAGCGTCTCAAACAAAATCGGATAGCGCAGAATTTTGGTCCGATTTCCACACCCCCCCCCCCCCCCCNTTCTTTTTTTTTTTTTGGACCTCCAAACAGCGTGGTATTATAGATTACATCCGCCATTGGCCTAAACAGCCTCTGATTGGTGAGCTGCATCCTGTTGAGAGGTTGCGAATATTGCTAGCAAGCTTTACTTCCGCTACAAAGAGGACAAACACGGTCAGTGTATGGAAAAACACACAACATCGCTAAGTTTAAGGAGAGTCCACAACCAGTCGTGTACAACCAGTCGTGAACAACTAGTCGTGTACAGCCAGTCGTGTACAACCAGTCGTGTACAACCAGTCGTAAACAATTGTGTACAACCAGCCGACATCGATTTCTTTGGATTTCTTCCTTCCATCCCAGAATTTAAACCAGCTTGGGGTTCTGATTACTTCAGAGACTGATTAGTGTAAGAGAGCTAGTAACCTAGTGAAGACAGGCCAAACATTTCCTAGTGTAGTTACAGACAGGCCAAACTTTGCCTAGTGTAGTTACAGACAGGCCAAACATTTCCTATTGTAGTTACAGACAGACCAAACATTGGCTAGTGAATTACAGACAGGCCAAACATTGCCTAGTGTAGTTACAGACAGGCCAAACTTTGCCTAGTGTAGTTACAGCCAGATCAAACATTGCCTAGTGTAGTTACAGATAGGCCAATCTTTGGCATTTATCATTGACGGATATTTGAGTTATTCGTGTGGCAGATTTCTCTTATCTTGTGTTTGTGTGAAACTCTTTTTTTTTTTTAAATGTGGAGATTATAATACTTTGAACGTATCAAGACTGCTAAGACTGTAGTAGCACAGAAGTGTTCGGTGCTTGCACTTACGATACAATCGCTAGCCCGCTCACCCCACGTCTCCCCTTCCTCGCGTTGTGTTCCCAGCCAGGTCACGTGACGAGGTACCAGGGCCAGCCTTGGATGAGTGGTGAGATCAAGAGGCGGATCTCCTTCTCGGCCGACTCTGTTCTCACCGCCATCGTCCAAGATGCCGACACCTCGGAGCTGGTTCGCATCCTTGACAACCACGGCGACGAGGTCCGCGTCAACCAGGTCAACCACGTGGGGCTCACCGCGCTCCACCACGGCGTCCTCAGCAACAACCTGGACGCCGTCAAGCTGCTGCTGTGCAACGGCGCGGACGTCAACGCGCAGGACGTTCACGGGTTTTCCCCACTGCACACCGCGGCGGCGTGCGGCTTCACGCAGGTGGCCAGCATGCTCGTGCTGTATGGTGCGGATGTGTTCGCCCTCACCGCGCAGAAGGAGATGCCGATCGATGTCGCGAAGGACATCGGCGTCATCCGGTTGCTGTCGGAGGAGATGCGACGTCACTTCCACCAAGAGCTTTATCTCACATCGTTCATCTGTAGGAAGGCCTCGGATGGCTGGTTGTTCTTAAAGCAAAACGCTCTACGTCTGCTGGAGGAATTTATGCAAGCGGTTGTACAGTTGTGGAAGCGACACAGGGCGAAAGATGAAGGCAGACGGTTAGAAATAGAGAAAAATCAATAATAACGAAAGAAGTACGGTCCAACTTTGTGCAAGCCGTCTGGTGCGATGTCTTACTTTGTGCAGGCTGTCTTGTGGCGATGTCTTACTTTGTGCAAGATGTCTGGTGAGATGTCTTACTTTGTGCAGGCTGTCTGGTGCGATGTCTTACTTTGTGCAAGATATCTGGTGCGATGTCTTACTTTGTGCAAGATGTCTGGTGCGATGTCTTACTTTGTGCAAGATGTCTTGTGCGATGTCTTACTTTGTACAAGATGTCTGGTGCGATGTCTTACTTTGTGCAAGATGTCTGGTGAGATGTCTTACTTTGTGCAAGATGTCTAGTGCGATGTCTTACTTTTTGCAAGATGTCTGGTGTGATGTCTTACTTTTTGCAAGATATCTGGTGCGATGTCTTTCTTTGTACAAGATGTCTGGAGCGATGTCTTACTTTGTACAAGATGTCTGGTGCGATGTCTTACTTTGTGCAAGATGTCTGGTGCGATGTCTTACTTTGTGCAATCTGTATGGTGCCATGGCTTACTTTGTGCAGGCTGTCTCATTTGGTGACAAGCGATGCCATGCTGGGAGGTGTGTGTGCCATATTGCGACAGCCTGTTGCACAGCACAGGCCAATGAACTCACGACCGATAGGGGCTTTTCAAATAATGGGAGATGTTTGTCCCTACTAAAGCGACACAGTTCACCTTCTATTGGGGACACTTTTGGTCACTTAATTACTTTTTTCAATGAAACAATGAGGGAAAAAAACATGATGTAAGTGTAATAGTAATAGAATTGTCCTGTATCTGTCAATCTGTCCATTTCTAACCAAAGATTTAATTTGTTTTTAACAAAGTTGATGACTTAGTCAAAAGGTCTGGCTAAACTGACAAAGTTGATGACTTGGTCAAAAGGTCTGGCTAAACTGACAAAGTTGATGACTTAGTCAAAAGGTCTGGCTAAACTGACAAAGTTGATGACTTGTTCAAAAGGTCTGGCTAGACTGACAAATTTGATGACTTAGTCAAAATGTCTGGCCTGACTGACAAAGTTGATGACTTAGTCAAAAGGTCTTGCTAAACTGACAAAGTTGATGACTTGTTCAAAATGTCTGGCTAAACTGACAAAATTGATGACTTAGTCAAAAGGTCTGGCTAAACTGACAAAGTTGATGACTTGTTCAAAATGTCTGGCTAAACTGACAAAGTTGATGACTTAGTCAAAAGGTCTGGCTAAACTGACAAAGTTGATGACTTGGTCAAAAGGTCTGGCTAAACTGACAAAGTTGATGACTTAGTCAAAAGGTCTGGCTAAACTGACAAGGTTGATGACTTGGTCAAAAGTTCTGGCTAAACTGACAAAGTTGATGACTTGGTCAAAATGTCTGGCTAAACTGACAAAGTTGATGACTTGTTCAAATTGTCTGGCTAAACTGACAAAGTTGATGACTTGGTCAAAAGGTCTGGCTAAACTGACAAAGTTGATGACTTGGTCAAAAGGTCTGGCTAAACTGACAAAGTTGATGACTTGTTCAAAATGTCTGGCTAAACTGACAAAATTGATGACTTAGTCAAAAGGTCTGGCTAAACTGACAAAGTTGATGACTTAGTCAAAAGGTCTGGCTAAACTGACAAAGTTGATGACTTAGTCAAAAGATCTGGCTAAACTGACAAAGTTGATGACTTGGTCAAAAGGTCTGGCTAAACTGACAAAGTTGATGGCTTGGTCAAAAGGTCTGGCTAAACTGACAAAGTTGATGACTTAGTCAAAAGTTCTGGCTAAACTGACAAAGTTGATGACTTGGTCAAAATGTCTGGCTAAACTGACAAAGTTGATAACTTAGTCAAATTGTCTGGCTAAACTGACAAAGTTGATGACTTGGTCAAAAGGCCTGGCTAAACTGACAAAGTTGATGACTTGGTCAAAAGGTCTGGCTAAACTGACAAAGTTGATGACTTGGTCAAAATGTCTGGCTAAACTGACAAAGTTGATGACTTGGTCAAAATGTCTGGCTAAACTGACAAAGTTGATGACTTAGTCAAAATGTCTGGCCAAACTGACAAAGTTGATGACTTAGTCAAAATGTCTGGCTAAACTGACAAAGTTGATGACTTAGTCAAAATGTCTGGCCAAACTGACAAAGTTAATGACTTGTTCAAAAGGTCTGGCTAAACTGACAAAGTTGATGACTTAGTCAAAATGGCTGGCCTGACTGACAAAGTTGATGACTTGGTCAAAAGGTCTGGCTAAACTGACAAAGTTGATGACTTAGTCAAAATGTCTGGCCTGACTGACAAAGTTGATGACTTGGTCAAAATGTCTGGCCAAACTGACAAAGTTGATGACTTGGTCAAAATGTCTGGCCAAACTGACAACCTTTAAAAAAAAAGATTGCAAACCAAACTTTAAAAAATAGTTTAATGTAATATTTAAAATGTTCGAAAGCGCACTGAGAGAACGTGATTAAATCCACCATTTGATTGATTGCAATCAATGCTCAGCTAATGTGATATATGTGACTAAGGTTAAGACAAGCAATCATGTAAGATTAGCACCCATGTTTATCAATGTGATTAATGTGACAGACATATGATCCACAAATGTCAAGGTTTAGGTCCCATGTTAACTAATGTGATAAGTGTGACAGGCCTATGATCCACAAGACCTCAAGGTTTAGCTCCCATGTTAACTAATGTGATAAGTGTGACAGGCATATGATCCACAAGAAGTCAAGGTTTAGCTCCCATGTTAACTAATGTGATAAGTGTGACAGGCCTATGATCCACAAGATCTCAAGGTTTAGCTCCCATGTTAACTAATGTGATAAGTGTGACAGGCATATGATCCACAAGAAGTCAAGGTTTAGCTCCCATGTTAACTAATGTGATAAGTGTGACAGGCATATGATCCACAAGAAGTCAAGGTTTAGCTCCCATGATAACTAATGTGATAAGTGTGACAGGCCTATGATCCACAAGAAATCAAGGTTTAGCTCCCATGTTAACTGTGCTCAATAAATGTCAGTTTAAGGTTTTCATCTCTTTCTCCCTAGTTGAACACGTGATCGAAAGTAGAGAATGGGCTCTTCCAACGGTCAGTGTCTGGTGCACATTTCATTGTGTCAAATCCAAGTTGGTGACCTTTGCAAGGTCGGCGTCTATATTATGGTTTCGTTGAGGCCAAGGAATGTGTATAAAGCAGGGTCTGTGCCCATAGCAAAGTATTTGTACATTGTGTACATGGCAAGTATTTGTACATTGTGTACATGACAAGTATTTGTACAATGTAGATGCATGAGTTTTTGTTCATCGTGTACGCTAAACGTTTTTGTACATTGCAAATATTTGTACGTTTTGTCCATTTTGTCCATTGCAATAATTTTTACAGTGTACACAAAAAAAAATAGTTGTTCATTGAGTGGATTTAAAGTATGTCTCCATTATGCACATGCAAATATTTATGAACATGTGTTGGCTCCTTCTATTTTATGTTCATGAACAGCTTTCTATTCCTGATGTTTGCTGTTTGGACTGAATTGCTGCGGAAAAAACCCACTAGACCTAACATTATGTCATTAAACCTGTTTTGAAACTTTGTAAAACTTCATTTGTACTATCATTGTATCCATCATTGTATCCATCATTGTATCAATCATTGTATCCATCATTGTATCCATCATTGTATAGATCATTGTATACATCATTGAATCAATCATTGTATCCATCATTCATACATCATTTATACATCATTGTATCCATCATTGTATCCATCATTGTATCCATCAATGTATCCATCATTGTATCTATCAATGTATCCATCATTGTATCCATCATTTATACATCATTGTATCCATCATTGTAACCATCATTGTATCCATCATTGTATAGATCATTGTATACATCATTGTATCCATTATTGTATCCATCATTGTATCCATCATTGTATACATCATTGTATCCATCATTTTATCCATCATTGTATCCATGCTTCTTTATGCTTGTGATTTATACGAAAATATTAGAGAGCCGTAGCGTAGCTGGTGGGAAAACGTCTGGGCCACCTAAAACATTTTTGGGGGTCTCAAGCTCAAAACGTCTGAACCCCAGGATTTGAAGGCTCCAGAACCACAGGATTCGATGGCCCCAGTACCCCAGGGTTCGATGGCTCCAGCGCCCCAAGATTCGATGGCTCCAGCGCCCCAAGATTCAATGGCTGCAGTGCCCCAAGATTCGATGGCTGCAGCGCCCCGGGATTCGATGGCGCCAGAGCCACAGCCCACGTAGATGGTATAATTTTCAGTCATTTCTCAACGTGCGCAACAAATTTCTGGGGGGCGACCCCTCCCCTTACTTTCAGCCCCCCCCCCCAATCCATTCAATGTGACAGTACACGCACCTTTGTGTCCATACAAGTAAACATCTAGATCAGTCCGCGGGCCGCATTCGGCCCGCCATCGCCCACTTTGCAGCCTCCGAAGTAACGAAATATTCTTTATTCTTATTATTTTCTTAATAGCTTCCCCCCCCCCCACTGTCCTTTTTTCTTTTTCCCCCGCACACGTTTTTCATAAATTATTACGGCCCGCCTTACATTTTGAGTTGTGAAGCCTGATCTAGATGTTTGTAATATAAGGATTTTGTTGACTGAAAAAAAAATTATTACTCTTTAAGTATGTAAAGATAAGCTAGACTATATTTTTATTTATAGAATCCAATGAGAAAACAAAGATGGGGCAAAAAGCATATTCTAGTATTTCTAGGGCGCACAACTGGGATTAAATCAGTTTATGTAGGGTGGGGGCGCCAGTTTGAGAACTGACAACATTTGGCGTTTGTAAATGCATAGCCCCCACCCCCGGCCAAACTTTTTTCCAAACACCTGAAATGCCTAGGATCAAATTATTAGAAAGAAACACTATACAGCACACCTAGACATACAGCACACCTAGATATACAGCACACCTAGATATACAGCACACCTAGATATACAGCACACCTAGATATACAGCACACCTAGATATACATCACACCTAGACATGTAGCACATCTAGATATACAGCACACCTAGATTTACAGCACACCTAGATTTACAGCACACTTAGAGATACAGTACACCTAGATATAGAGCACACCTTGATATACAGCTATGTGGCCATGTGGATTTCGTCCTCCGAAGCCCACTCCATCGTCACATTGTGACGGACGGATGCCAGCAGCAAGATATACAGCACATCTAGACACCAAATAGATATACAGCACACCTATATGTACCGCACACATAGATGTACAGCACACCTAGATATACAGCATATCAAGATGTACAGCACACCTAGATATTCAGCACACCAAACAGATATACAGCACACCTAGATATATAGCACACCTAGATATACAGCACACCTAGATATTCAGCACACCAAACAGATATACAGCAGACAAAGATACGTCGTTAAGTAAATGTTGCCAACACACAGCCATGATCTTTGGAGGTTTAGCGGGGCAGCTGGGAGACATTCGTCTAGTTTGTTCTTGGCGAGAAGTGTGTTCATCCTGCTCAAAGGCTGTGTACTGATCAGTGAGCTGTTGTCTCGTGGGCGTGGGCTCTACTGATGGACGCGTGTCCCTAATGTCCACAACCAGCTGGCCACGTTAAAGTGCACAATCCCTTATGACGTCTTGAGATCTTATCCTGTATTTCAAAGTGTGTGGATAGGACAATGTCAAGGTCATCTTGAGACGATCTTCTGCTGAAAACATATTAAATTATGAACGCTGTAAAGAGTATATTCTACAGCAGTGGTTCTCGATCTCCCTAATGACGTGACTCTTTAACACGGGTCCTCATGTTGTGATCACCCCCCACCCACAGAATTATTTTCGTTGCTACTTCATAAACATGTGTTCTCCGATGGTCTCAGGCGACCCCTGTGTAAGGGTCGTTCGACCCCCATTCCTATTTATCGTCCACGAGTTTAACAGTTCAGGTCTTGGAAATATGCAAATAAAATAAAATATCAAATGAAAGATGGATGTTGTATGTGATTTTTGTTGATAATGTGTAAGACATGATTGTCTAAATGATTGTCTGATTATTGTATAATGATTGTCTGATTATTGTATAATGATTGTCTGATTATTGTCTAACAATTGTCCTATGATTGTCTAATGATTGCTGTTCTCATTATAAACATATATCGATCTACACATATGATTTCAATTTTGAGGTCAGATAGGTGGCGCCGGAGCAGGCCAATAGTTTTGTGCCGCCGGAGCAGGACAATGGTTTTGTGCCGCCGGAGCAGGACAATAGTTTTGTGCCGCCGGAGCAGGACAATAGTTTTGTGCCGCCGGAGCAGGCCAATAGTTTTGTGCCGCCGGAGCAGGACAATAGTTTTGTGCCGCCGGAGCAGGACAATAGTTTTGTGCCGCCTTCTGCAACGAAACAAAAAGAACCCCGCGGTTGGCCGAAACTAAAGTGTAGCTCAAAAAAAAAAAGGGGGGGGGGGGGGGGGAGACTCTTCCCCCTTTCTTCACCACTGCTTCACACATAATACCATTGACCGACCCGACGAAATTCGTGACAACTTAATGACTCGTCAAACATATCTGCTCCAAATTGTAACACGGGAGAGCTTGGTGTCCACGGAACATTTGTGTGGGTGTTGGGGGGGGGTGGCCCCCCGTGCCCCCCAGGGGGGTGTATGTGTACCTGCTTCCTATTTTCATCAGCTTAATGTACATGTACATCTCGATGACTGATATCTGTGAGTTCGTTGCCAATAAACCATAAAATTGGTGTTCCTTTCTTTTGACAACGTTCGTTGTTCTGTTCGTGGCTTGATTAACGACACGGGAAATAACCCACGCCAAACAATGACGCTGGCGATGCAGGACTTTCCCATCTACTTTAAACTTACTGGACAAATTTTAGTATTTCGCGTCTATTTAACAAAGTGTCACCGCTATGGGGTACGGCCATTTAGAAAAATATATATATATTTTCGGAAAGAAAATAACAAAATTGGTTGTAAAATGTTGCCCCGGGAAGAATTCTAAAAAAGGCATCCATATTAAGGTGGAGAAAAGCGACGCCCTGCGCGAACCTGTATACATATGATTTTCGCACCCCCTAGTTCCTTGTAAAAAACATGGTAATTTTTTTCGTTTCACTATTAAGTTCCCTTTTAGAGACGATTTTTGGCTCCGCTGATGCTGTAGCCCGGGCGAATGCCCCCCCCCTCCCCTGAGTTCCCTCGGTGTCGTCTTAGAGCGTAAACACACTGGGCAGTGTACAAGGCCTCACTTTTCAGGAGGGTGGGGGGTGGCTCACTTATCTAGGAGGCCTCACGCTTCTAGCGGGCCTCATACTTCTAAAGCAGGCCTGCACAACATACGGCCCGGGGGCCGCATGTGGCCCACCAGCACGCACTTGGCGGCCCGCGATGTAACGGAATATTCTTTATTATTTTTACTTTCTCAATAGCTCTCCTCCTTGTCCAATCATCTTTCGGCTCGCACAAGCTTTCATAAATTATTACGGCCCGCCTTACATTTTGAGTTGTGCAGGCGTGTTCTAAGGAATCAAGTTGCCAATGGTGTCCATGTATATTAAAATAACATTTTTGGGGCAATGTATGTTGCTAAAGACAGCCAGGTCCGGGTACACCTACATTGACACAAACACTTCTTCGCCAATTCAGGTGAGAATAATGCACAACTAAATTCAGATATGCACCACAACGCGTCCCTGCATTTTGAATGTAGCAAACATTTTCTAGGGAGTGGCTCATTGAGGCCCCGCCCTTGGGGAGTGGCTCATTGAGGCCCCGCCCTAGAATCCCACGTTTCAATCCACGATCAAATTGACAGGACCGACCGGCAATGTACCGACCAGTCAAGTACCGACCAGTCAAGTACCGACCAGTCAAGTACTGACACCCTTTTTTTATCTACAAAGAAACACAACTCACTGGATGTTAGCTACTACAACATGATTTTCTTGAATTACAAAAGAATGTGATTTTCCTAAAGTTTAATGTGTCTGACATTTTATTTTTTTGAGAACCGCCTTTATGACTGAAGACCATGGACGCTAACTCCTCGTAAAACCACCAAAGTTCTGATCCAAACATAACATGCAAGCATTGTGCCCAGTTTTCATAGGACTACATAAGAGACAGTGGCGTGACTAGGGTTAGTGCCGCCCGGAGCAGGACAAAAATTGTGTGCCCCCCCCCTCAATACTCCACAAAAAAAGTATGCGAAAATTCCGCCCTCTACATTCAGACACCCACCCCTTTTTTCTTCCATAACCCCCATGCCTACGCCACTGTGTAGTGTATAGACTATTCCTATCTGAATTTAATAAGTAAAAAAGTCTTTCCAAACAAAAACAAACAACACAAAAAATAAGCTGAGTGGTGGAAAAAGTAAATTATTTCAATAAAGACTTATTCCTACCGGAAGTGTTTCCACTGATGCACGTGTCACGTGTCAAGAATCCACTGATAAAAAAATAACTGTCATTTTAGCTTTCCTTCCAAATTAATTTATTTAAATGTATTTGTGTTTGAATTCAAGCATTTTATTTGCGTAGCATGGGTGTATAATTAAATACACATTTATCTGGCTTCCTGTTTGTTCACAGGTTGCTGTAACCAATGAAATCGATGCTTTTTTTCAGCTTGTCAAACCCCGTTGATGTAGCTCTCATAGTAGTCTCCCTTTTAATTAATGTAAAAATAAAAAAACAAACATTTCCAATTAATTCCCTTACCTCACTCATGGGCCCTTCATTGTGCCCAATGATTGAAATTGTAATGATGAATTTGAATTAGTGGAAATTCTCACATTGGCCTGCCCAATCTAGTAGGCCTACCTATATTTTACCCTTTCCTATACCTATCTAATACTTTTTCCCATTACCATTTACATCTCCAATTACCATTCTATTTATTTCTCACATTACCTTCCTACCACAAAGAAAATACCTTTATACTGGGCAGTAGGATTTCAAGTACAAAATACTTACATTTACATATTTGCCAATAATGCTGAACTTTTATAACTTCTTACTGTGACAGCAACATTTGGTTCTGTGTTAGTGAATAATTCAATCTTAGCAAATTCCCTTCCTAATTTGTGACACCAAATGGTAGCAGTGAGCTGTTGATGATTCATGACATGGAGTTATAGTCACAGTAATTTAGTTCTACATTGATCACTTTGTTTAACTATGTCATGGGCTTTTACATAACTCTCTAAAGCAGTTTCCCTTTCACTGATTCATCTTCCATAACCACAACTGCAACACAGCACTCAATATTAGACACCCACCTTATAAATAGATAGATTACACATGTGAAAACAAGCCTCATCAAAAAGTCTAGTTAAAACAGTCTCTTTTATTCATACATTACTCATTACATAACTCATACATTATTCATGACATCACTCATTACATAACTCATACATCACTCATGACATCACTCATTACATAACTCATGACATCACTCATTACATCATAACATCACTCATGACATCACTCATTACATCACTCATGACATAACTCATGACATCACTCATTACATAACAAATATATCACTAATGACATAATTCATACATCACTCATGACATCACTCATTACATAACAAATATATCACTGATGACATAACTCATACACCACTCATGACATCACTCATTACATAACAAATATATCACTAATGACATAACTCATACATCACTCATGACATCACTCATTACATAACAAATATATCACTAATGACATAACTCATACACCACTCATGACATCACTCATTACATAACAAATATATCACTAATGACATCACTCATTACATAACAAATATATCACTAATGACATCACTCATTACATAACAAATATATCACTAATGACATCACTCATACATCACTCATGACAGTGCAACAAGAATTAACAACTTTATAATGTTCCATTGGAAGAGAAAGACAACTGTACATTAGATGAAATAACGTTGCTCTCTTAAATCTATAGCTTTTAAATTTTGCCATTGACAATTTTTGTTAAAAAATACATAGCATGAACGTAATTCCTGTGTTATGTCTGTCTGGAACTGAAGCAAAAAAAAATAGGAGTGGGGGTGGAATCTGCCATTCAAACTTTAAAAAATTGAAATGTGTGGTCAAAGTCAAGCTGAGCTCCGCAGCTGACTTCAACTATGATTAATAGAGCACAGAGAGCAATTTTTTTTATAAAGATGTTGAGAACAATACATTAAACAGCAGTCATGTAATGTGTAAGTGTAATAGCAGTTGTATGTAATGTGTAACTACAGTTGTAAAGAGATGAATGCTGGAGTCCAGCCTCCAAATGTCCACATTCAGGTGCTATCATTTGTAATGAAACAAAAAATTTGAATTCCCTAAAAATTCACCACAACATCTCTGAGATAAATGTTTAAAAAAAATGACAGAGTAGTTTTTGTAACATCATGACATTTACATCATGACATTAACATCATGACATTCAGTGGTTGTTGACTACATAGTCAAACTAAATCTGACACAAAAATCAGAAAAATCATGTGGCGGATTAATACAGATGATGAACTGTGAAAGACAGGACTATTTTGTCAGCCATATTGGAGAGCATGTAAAAATTAAGGGTGTCAAAGTAGGAGGTGAATAAATCTATTGTCTACGGACACATCTAATATGAATAGATATTTATGTTCTTTATTGAGTGGAGAGTTACTAATCATTACTAATCATTTATTTGACATTGATTCTGTGGATTGGAGGATTTCTTCAAGTATTATATTTGTCAACTTCATTGAAATAATCAAATGATGTGTGTGAAACTGAAACTGGACTCAGAATGTCATTCCAAAGTTGTCTATGTGATGTCCTTAAAAGTTAACCTGGACTAATAATAATTAGCAAGGTTACAGTTTTCATGAATGGAAACCACAAATAAGATTAATGAAATCATATTGTCTTACAAAAACCGATATTTAAAATTGATCTTAGATAGGAACTTTATTATGGTGTAAATACATATTTTACTATCATACAAAAGGCAGAAATACAGCTAACAGTGGCGTAGCTAGGGCTGGCGACACCCGGTGGCGTAGCTAGGGTTGGCGAGACCCGGTGGCGTAGCTAGGGCTGGTGAGACCCGGTGGCGTAGCTGGGGTTGGTGACACCCGGTGGCGTAGTTAGGGTTGGTGAGATCCGGTGGCGTAGCTAGGGGTTGGCGACACCCGGTGGCATAGCTAGGGTTGGTGACACGCGGTGGCGTAGCTAGTGTTGGTGACACTTGGTGGCGTAGCTAAGGTTGGTGACACCCGGTGCGGTTTAATGATGGTGTCACCCCACCCCTCCCCCTACTTCCACTACGGATTTCTTCTTGTTAAAGTAAGTCCACACTTAACAATAACAAGAAAAAAAAAAATTAAACTTCAGGAGGTAAATGTATGTAAGAACTGCAACAACGTTAAGTTATTTTTACATTAAATTCACTTTATTTAAAACTTTCCTTTCCTGGTCTTCAAAGCTGCAAACCTGTCAATCACTTGATCAATATCCTTCACTGTATCACTTTCAATTGTTAGTAGATCCAGATCAGAAAGCCTTGGCTGTCCCATGGATCATCGTAAACAGTTCTTGATAAGCTTTAGTTTTGAAAAGCTCCACTCACTTGAAGCCACAGACACACAGATCGTAAGAAATAATTGAAGGCTTAGCGAGAGTATTGGAAGAGATTCTAGGAAGTCCCATTGAGCAATGAATTTCAACACATCAAATACTGACCAGTCCATGACTTTGTGAAATCCAATATCAGCGCCTTAAGGTGCTTCTAAGCCTTGGTATTTCTTTTAAAATTTCATCTTCTGATAATTCAACATAGAAAGAGGTTCATTTTGAACGAATAACTCTGTTTCCCTTGCTGATTAGTAGACTCTTGGGTTTGAATAGTCACAAATATATCTGCTATTCCTTGATCGCTGATGATCTGATCTAGGGTTCAGAATGAAAAAGATCAATACCCTCCAGCAACTCACTACTGTTTTCTTCTCGCAGAGAGAGTCCAGCATCTATTAATTGTTCTCCTGCCATTCTCTTCTTAAACCTTAATCTTCTCTCTACCGAGTCTGATTTTAAAAGGGTCATTTCATGCAGAAACAATCTTAAGGCCTCTAGGTTTGTCACCCTTTTGTCAAAGGTAAAGCCTTTATTCTGCAGATACTGCTGTGTAAGATTAACTTCCTCAAGTAGATCATTTCAAAGGTAAATGTAGCACATAAATATGACAACACAGACAGCATGTAAAAGACCTTGTATGACAATCATCTCAAATATTAAGGGTTGGCGTTAGTGACGAATCGCCAAAAATAATTATTTTTACTGTTTGGGTTTCGATAAATTAGGTTTCAAAAATCTTTTTTTTTTAAATTTAAATAAATTGTTAAAAGATATGAGCAAATTGTGTAAAATATTATTTTGATAACCTTATAAATGAGTAAAAAGTCATTTTTAATCTTTTTAATTTTTAATGTTTCGATTCATGTACCAGTACTTAGAATCACCAAACCATCTCGTATTTGATATCAATGGAAAGCTTTTATTATTCAGAATTTAGATAAATATGGGTTCCTGTCATTTACAAAAGTTACCAAACACTTCATCAATCAGCTTTGAATCATTTTGGCGTATCAACCTTGAACTTTTAATAAAGCATGCATTTGGATTGGTTACATGTGTGGAAAATTTAAGTGTGATCTTTTTATGAAATTCGGTTAGACTGGGCAGTGTGTGCTCTGTAAATATACAATTTTTCAATTGGTGTCACCCACTGGTACTGTGTCACCCAGTGTGGTCTGCCCCCCCAGCACCCCCCTAGCTATGCCACTGACAGCAAATTAAGTCTATTGAGTCAAATCATTTAGTTAGAATTTTCCCCTAATTACTACTTTGTTTTTAATTTGTATATTACTGTATGAGTGTTATGTACTTTTTTTTTGTTGTGGCCATTAATATATTTTTTCTAACACTTTAGCCTTTTCTGGATTCAATTACATAAATTTGTTATAATTATAAAATATTTTGGAACTTCTAAAAAATATAAAGAGAACATGAGAGTTACTTCCCTTGTTCAGGAATACACATGAAGTGAGTCATTGAGACAACCAATACTGCTCTAAATACAAGAATAAAAATGGCAATTCAAGATGAGGTCATCTGTAACTTTTAGGTGCCTTTTAAGGTGTCATCCTGTGCTCTGTAATGTCAAGGTCATCTGTAACCTTTAGGTGCCTTGTAAGGTGTCATCCTGTGGTCTGTTATGTCCATCTCTTTGTGAGATGCCCTGATATAAATAAAAGCATCCCAAATAAGAAAAAGATGAACTGACCAAAAAGCTTTATGTCAATGTCCAGCCATTGAATTTATCTATGACTAACACATAAATGATGTATGCAGCAAAAATTCAGAGACAGACTAAGGCCAATGGTGCTGTGTCTGCCTGGCAACCATAACTCTATCTCCTACCATTTCTGCTACCATAACTCTATCTCCTACCATTTCTATTTTAAAAAAATTAAAATTCATCTAAGCAATTATCTTTTGAATTTCATCCTTTAGAAAAATTATAAACAGCCCACAGTTTAGTCCAACGCTTGGAAACAACTTAATCTTTTAAAGATGTGAATTGATGAAATAAACATTTGTTATATAAATTTCAATAGTTGAATTATTATTTTTCATTTTCTCTTCCAATACATATCTATAAATTTTAATTTCATTATTTATATTAAAAAGTACTTTGAACTATAAAACAACATCACAATAAAACCGTGTACATAAATGTGACCTAGACTACTGGAAGACACTTACTTGAAACATTTCTGACAGTAGAGGTCCTGGTCACAGTCTTTACACCTTAGTGTGGCATCTTCAGTACACATGCAGCAGTAGGGGAGCTCATCAGTATCATCATAATCGCTGTCAGAGTTCTCTTTCTTGGTTTCAATCTACAGTTCAATTTTAACAAATTTATGTCACATAAACATAAGGAGGAAAAAACGCAACTGACCCAAGTATCTCACTATCTGTTACTTCAATTGTTCATTAAAGTGTCATTAATGGACCATCACTCCTATATCTTGCTGCCATCTCTTGATTTATAAGACACAAACTGCGTAAAAAAAAGCAGGCTGTAATCATGGGCGCCCGCGGGGGGGGGGGGGGGGGAAATTCCCCCCCCCCCCCCATTGATTGGATACAAAAATTTTAGACAAAAATAGACAAAAAATTTATTAAAGTAAAGAGAAAATAAAGAGAAAGTAGCTAAGCTGATGTCTTGTCCGTTCGTTCACCATACAAATACGCTACAGTAAATTAAAACTACATTAAAAATCACTAAAAATTTTGTGCCCCCCCCCTAGAAAGTTAATAAATTTTTTTTGCCCCCCCCCCCCCTAGAAAGTTTGGTGCGGGCGCCCATTGCTGTAATGTCTTTTCCTGTTTGGCTTTTGTATTGTACTTCCTATTCCAACCACTTTCTTCCTGTTCTTCTGATCAATTTTTTTCTTAGGGAGTTGTGCTTCTTCTTTTCTGTTCTCTTTAGATATAGGTATAATATTCATATAGTATGTAAATTTATAATTATATTAATGTTCCTGTCGCTCTCAGAAACAGCCAGACACTGGAGTCCTTTAAAAACGATTTAAAAACACATCTATTACGCACACACCTTCTGGGGTGATGCTATCTACCATCTTCTTCCAGTAATGTATTTTGGCTTGTGTTGCTTATGGTTGAAATGGGATGAAAGACTTTGACTTGGTATGCTCGTATTTAGATTTATATTGTTGCGTCTGTTTTTAAATGTGGTAAATTTTAGATTGATTCTTTTTTTTTATGGTTGACTTTGTACCGCGCTTTGAGCTTTTAGGGATGTTTTTCAAATTAACTTTATTATTTTATTATTTTTTGTTGTACTGATAAAGACATTTGCCAATACATTTGAATTTGTACATTTCCTAATCATAATGAAAACTTAAAAAATAAAAATTCTTTTGTTACCCAATCTGTATGAATTTACCATCATGCTCAAAATGATCACTAATTAATTCATTATTGTCACTAAGGGAGTTCATTTATGGCTGATTTCTACGCTAGAGAAATACTTGTCTTGTGCTTTAATTATTCTAATTGTAAAATGTTGTCTTGGTTTAAATATGTATTTATTTATGTTCTGAATATGAATTTGTACAATGTAATCAAAAAATTTCAATTTAATTGGATCAATAAATAATCTTATCTTATGTTTTATATATATATATATTAAAAAAGATTTATGGCAGTCCAACCCTCTTATAATTAGCTATCTCACAGTCCAACCCTCTTATAATTAGCTATCTCACAGTCCAACCCTCTTATAATTAGCTATCTCACAGTCCAACCCTCTTATAATTAGCTATCTCACAGACCAACCCTCTTATAATTAGCCATTTCACAGTCCAACCCTCTCATAATTAGCCATCTCTTGACAGACTTAATTTCAACGAGATATCCAATCAATGGCACTATTCAGCACCATAGGAACAGAGAACATAAATTCTTTGCCCAAATCTATTGAAACATTTGTTGACGTCTGCAATGTGTTCAATATAGCTCCAACAAGTTTAAAAAACTAAATTCACCTTTGAACTTTCTTTCATCTTCTCTTTTTTGTTTGCCTTCTTGTTTTCTACTGATGAGGGCTTCCTCTGGCCGTTGGCGCCACCCAGATCACCAACGGTTGCATCAATCTTTGTCTCATCCATGAATCTCTGGATTAACTTTTGGGTGGCAACTTCTTCAGATTCTTCATCTGAGTCGTCATTGGGTACGTCTGTCATTCTGGAGATGTCACAGGTTTTTGTTGTATTGTCAGTGTCAGAATCAACAGATACAACATCTGAGGGAAACATAGTGTGAGAATGAACAGATCTGAGGAAATAACCAATCAACATGTTGCATTGAGTGAGGAATATTTTTTATATAAGTATTCACTTAAATGGCAATAAATGGAGTTAAGATAACAAACAATAATTTTTTTTTACAAGTCAGATTTCCCCCCAATTTGTTTTTTATTATTTTTTTTTCAAAAACAATTGACTGTAATGTTGAGAGGTGTGATACAGGTCAAATAATTGGTAGGTGGTGTAACACAAGTCAAATAATTGGTAGGTGGTGTGAAACAAGTCAAATAATTGGTAGGTGATGTGATACAAGTCAAATAATTGGTAGGTGGTGTGATACAAGTCAAATAATTGGTAGGTGGTGTAATACAAGTCAAATAATTGGTAGGTGGTGTGAAACAAGTCAAATAATTGGTAGGTGGTGTGATACAAGTCAAATAATTGGCAGGTGGTGTGATACAAATACAAGTCAATTAATTGTTAGGTGGTGTGAAACAAGTCAAATAATTGGTAGGTGGTGTGATTCAAGTCAAATAATTGGTAGGTGGTGTGATACAAATACAAGTCAATTAATTGTTAGGTGGTGTGAAACAAGTCAAATAATTGGTAGGTGGTGTGATACAAGTCAAATAATTGGTAGGTGGTGTGATACAAATACAAGTCAATTAATTGTTAGGTGGTGTGAAACAAGTCAAATAATTGGTAGGTGGTGTGATTCAAGTCAAATAATTGGTAGGTGGTGTGATACAAGTCACATAATTGGTAGATGGTGTGATACAAGTCACATAATTGGTAGGTGGTGTGATACAAGTCAAGTAATTGGTAGGTGGTGTGATACAAGTCACATAATTGGTAGGTGGTGTGATACAAGTCAAATAATTGGTAGGTGGTGTGATACAAGTCACATAATTGGTAGATGGTGTGATACAAGTCAAGTAATTGGTAGGTGGTGTGATACAAGTCAAGTAATTGGTAGGTGGTGTGATACAAATACAAGTCAATTAATTGTTAGGTTGTGTGAAACAAGTCAAATAATTGGTAGGTGGTGTGATTCAAGTCAAATAATTGGTAGGTGGTGTGATACAAGTCACATAATTGGTAGGTGGTGTGATACAAGTCACATAAATGGTAGGTGGTGTGATACAAGTCAAATAATTGGTAGGTGGTGTGATACAAGTCACATAATTGGTAGGTGGTGTGATACAAGTCAAATAATTTGTTAGGTGGTGTGATACAACTCAAATAATTGGTAGGTGGTGTGATACAAGTCACATAATTGGTAGGTGGTGTGATGCAAGTCAAATAATTGGTAGGTGGTGTGATACAAGTCAAGTAATTGGTAGGTGGTGTGATACAAGTCACATAATTGGTAGGTGGTGTGATACAAGTCAAATAATTTGTTAGGTGGTGTGATACAAGTCAAATAATTGGTAGGTGGTGTGATACAAGTCACATAATTGGTAGGTGTATAGAGGATTGGAAAGGTTGGGCAATTCTGCTGTAATGTTCTTAAGAATAAATAATTGAATTATTTAATTTTTGATAATTCTAGCAGGTGTATTTTTTTTACCTATAACTTCTATAATAAAAAATGTAATGGTCATGTCATACTATTGATAAACTCATACAAATCATATGAAAGCTTCATCCTACATACCATCTACATTTTTATTCCTCTCTTTCTGTCTGGCCTGGATGACCTTGAGTCTGTCCATTAACTCTTTGTCTTTCTGTAGCCCATCAATGGCTCTCTGAGCCTCTAACTCCAGGTCCCTGGCAGCTTGTGTCATCAACTTTTGTATGTCATCGAGGTCCGTGTCTTCTTTCCTAGCGGACGCCCCTGATTCATGGATTTTTTAAAACCTAAATCAGCTTTTTAATTTTGTTTAGGTATTATTATTGTTGTATTTTTTTAAATTTCGGACATATTCTTAAAAGAAATTTTTTTAATCTCAAAATAATTACTTAGTTAAATTATAAAGTGATCACATTCTTCTTGCTGTTCCCTGTGATTCAATTATAAAGTGATCACATTCTTCTTGCTGTTCTCTGTGATTCAATTATAAAGTGATCACATTCTTCTTGCTGTTCCCTGTGATTCAATTATAAAGTGATCACATTCTTCTTGCTGTTCCCTGTGATTCAATTATAAAGTGATCACATTCTTCTTGCTGTTCTCTGTGATTCAATTATAAAGTGATCACATTCTTCTTGCTGTTCCCTGTGATTCAATTATAAAGTGATCACATTCTTCTTGCTGTTCTCTGTGATTCAATTATTAAGTGATCACATTCCTCTTGCTGTTCTCTGTGATTCAATTATAAAGTATCACATTCTTCTTGCTGCTCTCTGTGATTCAATTATAAAGTGATCACATTCTTCTTGCTGTTCTCTGTGATTCAATTATAAAGTGATCACATTCTTCTTGCTGTTCTCTGTGATTCAATTATAAAGTGATCACATTCTTCTTGCTGTTCCCTGTGATTCAATTATAAAGTGATCACATTCTTCTTGCTGTTCTCTGTGATTCAATTATTAAGTGATCACATTCCTCTTGCTGTTCTCTGTGATTCAATTATAAAGTATCACATTCTTCTTGCTGCTCTCTGTGATTCAATTATAAAGTGATCACATTCTTCTTGCTGTTCTCTGTGATTCAATTATAAAGTGATCACATTCTTCTTGCTGTTCTCTGTGATTCAATTATAAAGTGATCACATTCTTCTTGCTGTTCCCTGTGATTCAATTATAAAGTGATCACATTCTTCTTGCTGTTCCCTGTGATTCAATTATAAAGTGATCACATTCTTCTTGCTGTTCCCTGTGATTCAATTATAAAGTGATCACATTCTTCTTGCTGTTCTCTGTGATTCAATTATAAAGTGATCACATTCTTCTTGCTGTTCCCTGTGATTCAATTATAAAGTGATCACATTCTTCTTGCTGTTCTCTGTGATTCAATTATTAAGTGATCACATTCCTCTTGCTGTTCTCTGTGATTCAATTATAAAGTGATCACATTCTTCTTGCTGTTCCCTGTGATTCAATTATAAAGTGATCACATTCTTCTTGCTGTTCTCTGTGATTCTATATTGGAGCTAAGTGCTTTTTTAAAAATGTTATATTGTTTTTAGTGTTACTTCTTCACTGGAGAAAGCTTCTGCCGACCTCTTCATCGTTTCTTTGTGTTTTCTCAGGTTTCCCCATACTTTGTTTGGCTTATTTCCTTCTACTTAACCTGATTGCAGTCTCTCCCCTTATCACCTTTGTGAAACAGTGATATTACATGACAAAAATATTTTCTATATGAACTGACCGGTCAAAGCCGTTTCAGATCCTGCGCCTTCAATGTTCTTGTTGAAAGGTTTGCCAATGGGTCCCAGCTTCTCTACGGTATTCAGATTGTTACTTGCCCTTCCAGACTTGTCTCCCTTGTTGAGATTATTGTCATCTATGTCAGCTTTGGAAGTCCTGTTGGCGGCTGTAGCTGGAGGTACAAGAAATCAAACATTACATGGAATATTGAGAGTTGTAGGTGGAGGTACAAGAAAACATTGTAACTCTGCAGTAATTTTTATAAATCTAATATTAAAATAATCCAAAAACCCTTACTCGAATACAAGGGTTCTTTACCTATTTGCTGTGTGCCACCCCCTCTTAATTGCAAAAAATTTCCTCATCTTGATTTTTAAACATTTTCTGCCCCCCCCCCCCCCCCCCGAAAAAATGTAATTGCAAGGTTAGTTAAATGCATACATTTATAGGTGTAACTTTTGATTAAATTACAGTATATTTAATTATGAAAAATGAAGTCCACATTACAGATGGGAATCGTACGGAATGTGTACCAAACTTAAACCCTGCTGACGACTGAACTGAACCCAAACCCAAACTTCAACATCACAAAATGTTCTATGACAAACTTGTTAGAACTGTCACTCTTCTAAGAATCTGGCCCATGCCGGCTTAAGCCAGACAAACTACAAAATAATATTACAAAAAATTTTTTGGGGGGTAAAAAGTTGCACCTTTTTAAATCCTCCCCTACCCACCTTTCCCCGACCCACCTCTCTCCCCCCTATCACTTTTTCATGGATAGACTTCTTTTTCTATATATTAAGGGCCCACGATCAATGTATGACAATTAAACAGCAGCACTATATAGCCAATTCTTTGTCATCCAATGTCAGAAACTACAATTAGATAAATCTATTTATTGATCAATCAAATCAACTATTTACAGTTGACAACACCTTGATGATGCCAGATGTGCATGGGTGGAGAGGGGGAAGTAAGGCCTCTGTAGTATAATGATTCTACTTGATGCCAGATGTGCATGAGTGGAGAGGGGGAAGTAAGGCCTCTGTAGTATAATGATTCTACTTGATGCCAGATGTGCATGGGTGGAGAGGGGGAAGTAAGGCCTCTGTAGTATAATGATTCTAGATGATGAACAACAAACCATGACCCACTGCACCAGATCAAAAGTGAGGGAAGACAGGATAGAAAGCATCTGCTACATTTGTTGTTTTCAAATGTGCTCTTATAGTGAAAATCCTAATTCGGTTTAAAACCAGATATCTAAATCCGCAAACTGGTTTTCCAGAAAAAAGAAAGGTATTACATCCCTAGTTATTGTCGAACTGAAACTAAGCTGTTACCAAACCAAACCAAACTTATAATGTTACCAAACCAAACTTAAGTTGTTAATGAGCTGAACCCAAACCAAACTTCTAAAAGTGAGATCAATTCCCATCTTAAATCCAAACTTTAGATACAGAGGAGAGTTATCATAAATCATTTTTGAATGTATACCCTGGGGGAGTGGACGTCCCTAGTTAAGAATCCCTGTCTAATGTTATCAAACCAACACAAAGGATCAATGAGATCTCTGAGCAAACAATTCTGAAAACCATACATAAAGTCAAAGTCACTTTTACCATCGCCAGTATAATACTGTCGCAGTCTAGCTTCAACTTCCTCAGCTGGGTCTGGGATGAGAGAGTCCAGTTTTACTTCTGCTGACAGCTGCTCTAACAAGTCATCCACCTGCTGGACCTCTGCTCTTGTGTCCGGAGCTTGATAAAACTGGAGGAAAAAACATCTCATCATCAGCTGTCAATGAACTTTATCATTAAACCATCTCATCATCAGGTGTCAATGAACTTTATCATTAAACCATCTCATCATCAGGTGTCAATGAACTTTATCATTAAACCATCTCATCATCAGCTGTCAATGAACTTTATCATTAAAACCATCTCATCATCAGCTGTCAATGAACTTTATCATTAAAACCATCTCATCATCAGCTGTCAATGAACTTTATCATTAAAACCATCTCATCATCAGCTGTCAATGAACTTTATCATTAAAACCATCTCATCATCAGCTGTCAATGAACTTTATCATTAAAACCATCTCATCATCAGCTGTCAATGAACTTTATCATTAAACCATCTCATCATCAGCTGTCAATGAACTTTATCATTAAACCATCTCATCATCAGCTGTCAATGAACTTTATCATTAAACCATCTCATCATCAGCTGTCAATGAACTTTATCATTAAACCATCTCATCATCAGCTGTCAATGAACTTTATCATTAAACCATCTCATCATCAGCTGTCAATGAACTTTATCACTTTTAGTTGTTTTTTTTTTAGTTTTTAATTTTTGAGTGTTACGTGAAAATGTTGACTTCATAATTATTAGCTCCATAGATTTTAATACGGGTTTTTTTTTAAACTCATTTGAGAAAATGTACAAGGAACTTGCAGGATTTTTAGTGAGGCCTCAAACAGGCTAAAGTCTATATATTTGACAAACACACTGACCAATGGTCACTTCCTATAGACTAATGCCTGGTTAAATTATTTATCACATATTTTTCATCATATGATTGAGTTGCATACGACTCATTCAGTTTAATACTATACTCATACAATGACAAGACCAATGGAAACTCATGCAGCTTGTGCATTAGGGATTATATGTTGTTCCTGGTCCATTCAAGAAAAAATGTGTTTGCTCTTTGGACCCAGCCATTTGTTTACTCTTGGACCCAGCCATGTGTTTGCTATTTGGACCCAGCCATGTGTTTGATCTTTGGACCCAGCCATGTGTTTGCTCTTTGGACCCAGCCATGTGTTTGCTCTTTGAACCCAGTCATGTGTTTGCTCTTTGAACCCAGCCATGTGTTTGCTCTTTGGACCCAGCCATGTGCTCGCTCTTTGGACCCAGCCATGTGTTTGCTCTTTGAACCCAGCCATGTGCTCGCTCTTTGGACCCAGCCATGTGTTTGCTCTTTGAACCCAACCATGTGTTTGTTCTTTGAACCCAGCCATGTGTTTGCTCTTTGAACCCAGCCATGTGTTTGCTCTTTGAACCCAGCCATGTGTTTGCTCTTGGAACCCAGCCATGTGTTTGCTCTTGGACCCAGCCATTTATTTTCTCTTGGACCCAGCCATGTGTTTGCTCTTTGGACCCAGCCATGTGTTTGCTCTTTGAACCCAGCCATGTGTTTGCTCTTTGGACCCAGCCATTAAACAGAAGACAAATTAAAGTAATCCTTAACCAGAAGCACCTGATTAAATGTAGCAATTAGTGTGAGCAATCATGGACAGTATTGAGTACTGACCACTTTCTTGTCAGGCTGAACAGATTGGCCTTTCAGTTGTGCTAATCTGGCTTGTATGTCTGTATCAGAAACTGCCTCTGTGAGGAGGAAAACAATGTTTCATAAAATTATTTTGTGTATGTTCTCACTGTGGTACAAATGTACACATATGTGAATTTTCTTACCGTGGTACAAATGTACACATTTGTGAATTTTCTCTCTGTGGCACAGTACAGAAAAACACATTTGTGTATGTTCTTACTGTAGTAAAAATAAATATGTTTGTGTATGTTCTTACTGTTGTAAAAATAAATATGTTTGTGTATGTTCTTACTGTAGTAAAAATAAATATATGTATGTATGTTCTCACAGTGGTAGACATAAACATAGTATTGGGGGTATTGATGTGCTTTCAACACTAGAAATAGTGAGCTAATAGACAAAGTTAACAAAAATTATATTATTTATAATACAGTGGTATTTAATGTTTTTAAATTCCATTTAACAACAAAAAAAACCTTTTGGCTTATCTGCTTCCTTTAACTTTTGTAAACGCATCGCTATTTCTCTGTCAGGTTTGTCTAACTTTCTAATGTGTTCTGGTAGTTTCTGCCCACTGTTTGGTGACTGTGAAGATCTGCCACTAGAATGGGACTGTGATTCACGCTCTTTCAAGGCCGCCATCCTCCTAGGAGAGTCAGTTAGTGGCAGGAAGATTATTGCATTCATCAAGGGGAAAAGAATGGGACTGTGATTCACGCTCTTTCAAGGCCGCCATCCTCCTAGGGGGAGTCAGTTAGTGGCAGGAAGATTATTGCATTCGTCAAGGGGAAAAGAATGGGACATTAGTTTGCTTTATTCCAACTTTATCCAAGTGGTACAATCTTACAATCTTACAATCTTACAATCTTACAATCTTTCAATCTTTAAAAAAAGATATTGTTTCTTATCTTTTATTGTGTTAGTTATCACATCATTGATATTTCTTACGTATTTTTCTTCATCTTTTAACATGTAAAGTGTATCTTTTTAAATTCAATTATTAGGGGCTTGAATATTTATGGTATGGGACGAAGAACTCTAAATATAGCCTATTAAGTATCAAACAAGTTACAGATGTAATGTTGCCATTAATATATTGACTAGCTTACTTGATATAAGCCTCTGGCAGGTCATAGGTCACTTGGCTAGCAGCTGCAGGCACAGCACTTTAGATTGAATTATAAAACTAAAATTAACACAAGGCAGGTTATTTCATCGTGTCCAACTTCCGAACATTTATCAATCTCAAGAACTAATATTTTAAAAGGATGAACCACAATTCCATCTGTGATACATTATGTGAATTTCACCACTTATATTGTGATCTATTGTTAATTTATGTCTTATGGATAGCCTAAAGCTTATGACCTCTAAATCATAGAATGACAGCAAGCACAGCACAAATGACATGTAACATTTAATGAATGTAACAGACATCACTGAATGCTACCTATTTCAGCTAAGTTTATATGCTCAACTCTAAAATGATGACTAGAATAAGACATACATTTGAAACAAATATTGTTACGAAGTAGATTAAAATATGACATACATTTCAAACTAATATAGTTATAAAAGTTAAAAGTTTAAAAAGAGCAATTTGTACCCAGTCAGGGTTTTGAAGCAGTTGTGGCAGACATGGTGTTTGCCATTGTTTCGTTTCGGCACAGGGATACCTTTTTCATTCAGGCATTTGTTGCAAAAAGCAAACCCACAGTTCTTACAGCCATGCTGCAAATATTTGCACAAAATAAGAAATGAGTTACTATTCTCATCAAACTCAAAGTAAGCATTGTTATATTTTGTTCACTAAATATTTAGCTGCCTGTGTTTCATTGTTAAATGTTTTTATCAGAAATTAACTGGCCATTTAACATCAAAACATTTTTATTTAGAGGCTAAATTTAAAATATGCTTCTTTAATAAAAGCTTCCAGCATCTCATTTAAAGATTTCATACACACAGATCAAGAAAATCTTTCATTTAAATTTGTACATTAAATTAAACATACTAAAATGACTCTCAAATATATCAAAATATATCACTCATCTAAAGCAATTTGATTATAGACACACTGTTTCTGCCTCTCTGCAGCTATGCAGTCAGACAAAAATCAACAATGTACTCCATTTACAATATTTACCTCTTTCCTAAAAACTCCAAACTCTGCCCCACATGCATAACACTGACCAGGCATCTGAAAGAAAAGCAAGTAAAAAGTCTCAGTTGCTCAATAGCAGATTATATTACTACATCAGCTCAATCAATCTGTGTTGTCAAATTATTTTGTCCATCTTCGTGGGCATGTCACTCTGAATGGTTTACAAAACTTGGAAAACAAAATGATTAGAAATGACTGACTCAAGTGAATCACAGACAGAAATGAAGAAAATTATAAGGAATTGTTTATCACTCACATACTTAAGAAAACACTGATACTTAATATTTTAACCCTGCTCTGGTACCATGAAAAAAATCACACATTTGGTACTATGAGGTCAGTTTGACCCCATGGAGAAAAACATGCTATATGATGAGAATAACATCCCCTTATTAGAATATTTTGTTTTTCTTGACATACTATGGTATGACAATGTGTTATAAAATCCAAATTAATATTTCAATATAACATTGTGTTATAAAATCCAAATAAATACTTCAATATAACATTGTGTTATAAAATCCAAATAAATATTTCAAAGTCGTGTCGCCATTTTGTTATGGTGCAAACGTCACAGAACCTTGAATAAGGAAAAAATACATTCACTACATTGAGGGTACTATGGGGTCAATTTGACCCCAAGCGAAAATAAACCTAAATAATAGATAATTGGAAATACTTTGAAACTATTGAACATGTGTCATGTACTTAGGAAGGCCTTAGGACAAAATGCGTGGCAGGCGAGGACACCAACGTTCCCTTTAAGCTGCGCGGCCGCGCAGCTATCTCACAGGCACAGCGAAGCAGTTTTGAGTATCCGCGCATCAAATTTCCATGTAAGTGTGTGTTTTTGTTTGTGGTCTGTAAAATTTTGCACACAAAAAAATTGATGCTGTAAAACTTTGCACACAACTGTATGATTTTGCACATGAACCAACAAACCTTAGAGAGAACATTGGAGGTCACTACTTTTAAAAAAACGCCGTCCAAAGAGGGCTGGGGTCAAATAGACCCCATGGTATCAGAGTAGGGTTAATCTAAACCATTTCATTCTATTTTAGCCTCGGTTTTCTGACTTCTTATGTGCAGTTTCTGGGAATTAATCATTTACTTTTAAAATATTGTTGTAGTTTTTTTTTAGTTTTTTAAATTTGTAATGTTTTTTAAATTTTCTTTAAATTCTAAATATTAGATCAAACAAATACAGTAATTTGTACCAATATAAACAATTAACAACATTCTTAAATAAATTAAATAGCCTAACCCTTATTAAATCACTGAGAAATTTCAAAATTACTTAATTGAAAATTTTAGGCCCACATTTATTTAAATTAATAAGCTTTAAATTGAATAATCCATGAAAATCATTTCGGAAGCTTAAAAACATTTAAACTAAATATTACCTAGACTAAGCTTAAAATTTTTTTAAAACACTCCCTTTCTTAAGCTTTCTACCCTTTAAAACCAATATGGAATATGCTCAGAGTTAAGGGCACCTAAACAAATTAACTTATATTAATATTAATCATTATTAATTAGGCTTAATTAATACCTATTATTGAAGAGCAGGTGACTGCCTGTGTCAGCACTTTTGTAAACGTTAATTACATCACTATAATATAATAGATATGTGTGTGTGAGGGTGCAATTTTGGGATTTCACCCAGGCTGCATCATCTTAAGTCAAGGTACCCAATAACTTGTGACACAAGAAAACAAACAAGCTCTAAAAATTCACATAGTGATTTGAGTAACTGTAATGGGGGATAAATACACTTTTCATTCTATCAAATTTCTCCCTTGAATATTCTTTTTAATAAATTTCTTTAAAAGTTCATTTGTCTTGTCCAAAATCTCTGAACATCTTAGTAATGGGAAATTTATCATAATCATGAGAAGATAACTTACTGTGTGCTAGCATCTTATTCCTATCTGCTCATACTATGCGTGATATGAGTCATACGGGGAGGGGCCTCATAGGTTGCTGGTGGAATGTTTGGCTTTTTTTTTAAAGGTAGAAGTAGAAATCATATTTCAAGGCCAAGGCTTTATTAATATTACAGTAGGTAGAGAAAACAAAGTCTATTCCCCTATTAATCTCCTTTATTTATTGCCTACACTAAATGATTTATTTTGTGCTGCTAATTACTAAATTAGTTTACAAGGGTCAATCAGAAAATGACGTCACAGTATTAAGATTAATTTTTTATGAACCCCTCACAAATTTATCAAATAAATTCAATACACATCCACTATGTCATCGTCACAAATTAGTTAACCCCCCACCAAAACACACACACTTTAGATGCACTTTGTAGGCCCTTTCTTTGGCCTTTGCTTTAATCCTATTTATAATTTATGCCTAAATACAATTCTCTTGTCTATTTATTTGTATTTTGGCCCTTTTTATGTAAATGTAGAAAGTGGTAGTAGCTAAAAAAAAGTGGCCTATTTCAGTATGTGCAACAACTTTCAAAATTATTAATTGGCCGGCACTACGTACACCGCGGCGGTGTACCTAGCGAAACTATTGACTTTGGCCTGCGTACACCGCGGCGGTGTACCTAGCTAAATCATGGTCTGTGGCCTGCGTACACCGCAGCGATTTACAGTAGCCAAACTATGGTCTTTGCGAGTCTTTAACTTTTTGGCCTAACCGGTACTTGTAGATTTAATGTTATACTCGTGTTAAAACTGAAAACTATTAAAAATTCGTTTATTACCTTGGGAAGATATTGAGTAAGGTCCACGCGTATGTGGCAAAGTGCATGTAAAGCATTTCTTATTATTTTTGGAAGGGAAGGGGCTGGGGGGGGGGTAATGTTAAACCATGATTTATTTTTAAAGTTAACCACTTTATTCCCCCCTCCCCCAATATCTTGAAATACAAATATATTTATTAATTGTAAGTTTTATCATATGATTGTGAATCTTAATTTGAAATTATTCTCTCATGCCCACCCCCACCCAGTTGTTAGTTGTTTTGTTTTGGGTTTGTTTTTTTTTTTTTTTTTTGGGGGGGTGCCTTATAAATATAACATTGTATGTGATCCCTCGGGGCATGGTGTAAAAATGAATGGGAAGACAGTGTATCTATTTTGTTAGCACCATGATATAATTACGCCACAAATACACTACGGGAAGAGAATCACATACTCATACATTGATCATGAAGTCGTGAAGTTAAAGTAGTCCGAGGCATTGTCATTGTGACACCAAGCATGTGTCAACACAAAACAGCAGTAAGATGATCAATACGAAACACTGCAGTTATTTGAAAGTCTTTTAACAATAATTAAAAATCATTGATTTAGTTTTACATTGGCATTACACATTAGTAAAAAAAATGCAGGCAGAGGGAGGGGGGATGCAAAAGGTAAGTTGGTTGTGCGGACGTCCTTTGTGGACAACCCCTATCCTGAGCCGTGATTTGTGAATGCCCTCTTTTTGGTTAAGCCTCTGCCCATAACTCACCACCACCCCCCACTCCCCGGCAAGGATCGATTTCTTAAAAAAAAAAAACAACAACAAATACAAAAACTTTGACATAGTGCAAATCCTGTCCCAGGCGCATTGTGCAATGGTTTCTGTGAGAAAACGTCGTGTTTTACCCTGAGAATAGCACATGCCATGCCATTCTGGAAACAAATTACGTCATGAAAAGGGTAAACGCAGACCTATGGCTTTGCTATACAGTTTGCTACCGCTCCGCAAGTTTCTAAAATCGAGGTGTTTTCAAAAGATTTGCTGTGAGACTGAGTGTTGTGAATGAACCTTTGATATCGTATGTACATTTTGCCAATGCATAAGGCATAGTGAAAGCAAGATGGTTCAAGGTTGAAATACGACCATGCACATTAATATTCATATGCATGAATATTATTCATACTGGTATTTTCTTTGGTTGTTCGTAAAAGTAAAATGTAAATATTCAACTATACGAAGAATGTTGAAATACAATAGAATATCAGTCACTTAGTATTCATAATGTTTCTGTTATACATGATCATCATGTATTACATGCGCTTTCAGAAACTTTAAGTTTGTTTTCAAATGTCTAAAGTCTTATTACTAAAGTTACCGGTATTTTCAAAGTCAAAGGCCGGCACAACTTGTTGAAACACTTATATATATAAATAAATATATAAAGTGTATTTAATATAATATTTAAACATATATTTAAATTGTTTCAATTGCTACAAAATATTTTAAAACTAAAATGGGAGGAAAAAAACTCGATCCCCTACTGAGAATTGATCTCAAACTATATTATCGCCAAGCGTCCACTCTACCACTTGACCACACAAGATCCTCTCCAACAAGTATATCTTAAAACCAGGCCAATGGTAAATTTTTTGCCGCGGTGTACCCAGGCCAAAGCCCACGATTTCACTAGGTACACCGCCGCGGTTTACGCAGGCCAAAGCCGATGGTTTCGCTAGGTACACCGCCGCGGTGTACGCATCCACTTCGTTATTTATTTAATGTTCTATTATTATCTCAATATTAATATTATTATATAATACATTTTGGCTAATTTTGGTTAGATTAAATCATTAATTATTAATAATTGGATTCATACTACCTATTCACACCGAATTTTTTTTATAAAATATGCCGATAGATTAGTTATACTATACTAGTTGTCACTTTAGTCAAGTATAAGTTAGTATAACATTAGGTCTCTTTACGGCACGGACTTTACGTTATCATTATTAGACATTCATTATCATAATATGAATCATATGATTATGATTATCACTGCCGCCGGATCAGTTCTGATCCGATCTAGATTTGTTAATAATATTAATTACAGGCAGGTACCTTAATTACATTTCATTATCATTATCCATTATGACATATAATTAATAATATCATATTTAATATAATAGTAATAGTTATGACTGTAAATTGTAAATTTTAACTGTAAATTTATAGATTAACGAATATGACAACCTTTTATTTTAAGTCGCACATTAAAATATTGGGTAGCCAAATATTGAAGCAAGCAGTCAATGTTGCAATATATTTGCTTCTACTTCTTGTTTTGTAAAAAAAAAAAAAAAATCTTACTGAAAAGTCTGTTTCTGTTTACTTTTCCAAGTTTTCTTCCATATCTCTTCACAGTTTCCGGTTGTATGTTTTTAGTTCCCATAATTATTATTAAATAATTTTATCAATTAACAGTACCGTAACTCTACTGTTATAGCATGGGGATGGTATCCGAAAATTAAAAAAAAAAAAAAGTCATTCAAATATAAATTATAAATATTAGATTTTCAAGTTACGGGTGAATATCGTTTAGTATAGTATAATATAATAGTACAAATACTTTTTAAAAACACACTTTTTCCATCGGAACGCCCCCCCCCTCTCCCCCCCCCCCCAAAAAAAAACGCTCGTCACACGTTTGAACAAACATTTTTAAAACAAATTAGTATAGTATAATATAATAGTACAAATACTTTTTAAAAACACCCTTTTTCCATCGGAACGCCACCCCCCTCTCCCCCCCCCCCCAAAAAAAAAACGCTCGTCACACGTTTGAACAAACATTTTTAAAACAATAATTACTTATTAAGAATGTTCTGAATGTAATCTAAAACACACTTCACTATTAAGCTATTAAATGTATCAAATTTTAACTTCAAATAACTATTAAATTATTAAGTTAATTTACTAGTTTGAACACTTGTCACAATAATCCAATGAAGCAGGAGAGTAGGCTAACTCAAGCTAGATTAAATTTGAAAACACAAAAATTAGACTATTAAAAATGTGTGACGTCACATATGATCTACACCCCCCTTCCCGGTCACAGTACTGTCACACTTTCTTTGACCTCCTCACCACGAGCCGTGATGTACTTTATGGAGGGTATATACGGTGCAGCAAGAAGGGGGGGGGGGCATCTTAGGGCATACAATTAAGAGGCATCAGAATCAACAGCACAGAATGAGTTATTAATTAATATTCTGGCAAATCGAGTGAATGAGGTGCTTGTCATGGATATGAAGTCTCCGATTCGAGTTATTTTGGAATCATATACCCCTGACTTATTACACAATGACCAGATTTCTGAGATGATCAGATATATAAAAATCTACGATCGGAACGATGAAGTGAATGAGTTTTTTTTCTATGATTTTTTTCCTTGGGGAAAAGGCTGATGATTTTCGTTCTGATATGCTTATGACTCTGAAAAGTACTGGCCTGGACATATTGATGTGCTTATGCCTCTGAAAAGTACTGGCCTGGACATATTGATGTGCTTATGACTCTGAAAAGTACTGGCCTGGACATATTGATGTGCCGAGCTAAAGGTTGGGATCAATCGTCACAGTGGTTTGACTTCATGGCGGTGGACAAGCCCCACTGAAATGAAAGAACAAGAAAGTTATTTTTAATGGATGCGTGGATCAATCACTTAAAATGTGTGGTCAAAACATTTTTTGCCGAAAGTTTTATGTCATGTGTAAAACATTGTTTCCTTCTAATCTGCTTTCCCTCATAGATGAGATGACAACAATGTCTTAATTGAACACACTGAAATGTCAGTGAAAAGACGATTAACACGCTGATTTGCTCTGTGCTAATCGTGCTGCAGTAAAACCAGTTAAAGACAAGTTGGATGAATGTGGGGTGGCGTATGAAGCTCTGTGTAACCCTCTTGACAATTTAGTCACACGAGGTACAGCACAAAGTCTTGGACACAAGAGGTACAGGACACAGTCTTGGACACACGAGGTACAGGACAAAGTCTTGGACACACGAGGTACAGGACAAAGTCTTGGACACACGAGGTACAGGACAAAGTCTTGGACACAAGAGGTACAGGACACAGTCTTGGACACACGAGGTACAGGACAAAGTCTTGGACACACGAGGTACAAGACAAAGTCTTGGACACACGAGGTACAGACAAACAAGTTCAGGACAAAGTCTTGGACACACGAGGTACAGCACAAAGTCTTGGACACACGAGGTACGGAACAAAGTCTTGGACACACGAGGTTCAGAACAAAGTCTTGGACACACGAGGTACATCACAAAGTCTTGGACACACGAGGTACAGACACACGACGTTCAGCACAAAGTCTTGGACACACGAGGTAAAGACACACGAGGTTCAGCACAAAGTCTTGGACACTTGAGGTACAAAACAAAGTCTTGGACACACGAGGTTCAGCACAAAGTCTTAGACACATGAGGCTCAGCTCAAAGTCTTGGACACACGAGGTTCAACACAAAGTTTTGGACACACGAGGTACAGCACAAACTCTTTGACACACGGGGTACAGAACAAATTCTTGGACACATGTGGTACAGACACAAGAGGTTCAGGACAAAGTCTTTGACACACGAGAATCATCACAAAGTCTTGGACACACGAGGTCGAGCACAAAGTGTTGGACACACGAGGTACAGACACACGAGGTACAGCACAAAGTCTTGGACTCACGAGGTACAGCACAAAGTCTTGGACACACGAGATACAGCACAAAGTCTTGGACACATGAGGTACATAACAAAGTCTTGGACACACTAGGTTCAGCACAAAGTCTTGGACACACTAGGTACAGCACAAAGTCTTGGACACACGAGGTACAGCACAAATTCTTAGTCACACGAGGTGCAAAACAAAGTCTTGGACACACGAGGTACAGAACAATATCCGACACACGAGGTACAGCACAAAGTCTTGTACACAATGGGTTACAGCACAAAGTCTTGGACACACGAGGTACAGAACAATGTCCGACACACGAGGTACAGCACAAAGTCTTGGACACACGAGGTACAGAACAAAGTCTTCGACACACATGGGTTACAGCACAAAGTCTTGGACACACGAGGTACACCACAAAGTTTTGGACACACGAGTTTCGGCACAAAGTCTTGGACACACAAGACTCAGCACAAAGTTTTGTACACACGAGGTACAGAACAAAGTCTTGGACACACGGGTTACAGCACAAAGTCTTAGCCACACAAGGTACAGAATAAAGTCTTGGACACACGAGGTACAGAAAAATGTCTTGGACACACGTCGTACAGCACAAAGTCTTGGACACACGAGGTACTATGATAAGTTATCTGAAATTTTAATTAATTAATTAATTTATTTATTTAGGCATTTTTTTATAGCGCTTACCTTACAGCTCTAAGCGCTTTACAATTATTAAAAATATGTTAACTATAAACTGCTAAACTAAAATAAAAAGGAAAAAACGAGAGACACTAGAATAGTAACTACAATGTGAAAAATAAAATAATAAAGTAGCTTAAACATTAAAATAGCTATAAAAATAAGTACACTTTGGCACGTTTTGGCCTCTACTATAATTCAAATGCCATTGGTTGAAATCAGTAGATATTCATCTTGACGAAGCCAACGATTGATCAATATTTTAAGTTTTGCAATTCATAGCTGAATGCGACTTCCTAGAATCTCTAACAAGCTTTCGGGCTTAATTTACAAAACCCATGCCATACATAACAAGACACGCCATGGTATGGAACCCATGCCAAATATAACAAGACACGTACTGGTATGGAACCCATGCCAAATATAACAAGACAAGTACTGGTATGGAACCCATGCCAAATATAACAAGACAAGTACTGGTATGGAACCCATGCCAAATATAACAAGACAAGTACTGGTATGGAACCCATGCCAAATATAACAAGATAAGTGCTAGTATGGAGGCCATGCCAAATATAACAAGACGAGGTGAGAGAGAGAGTTGCACTATAGAAATGGGAGAATACGTGCCAGCAATAGATGACAAACGAGAAAGTTGCTCTTATAGAAATGGGAGAATATGGGCTAGCAATAGATGGCGATAGAAGAGAGAGAAAGAGAGAGAGTTGCTCTTATAGAAATGGGAGAATACGGGCTAGCAGTAGATGATAATAGAGAGAGAGAGAGAGAGAGAGAGAGTTGCACTAAAGAAATGGGAGAATACGGACAAATTCATGAATTAATCTGTTAGTGCTCATGTTTCTATCTCCCCAACCACCACTCTGGTGTGATACATCACATGTTTCTATCTCCCCAACCACCACTCTGGTGTGATACATCACATGTTTCTATCTCCCCAAACATCACTCTGGTGTGATACATCACATGTTTCTATTTCCCCAACCACCACTCTGGTGTGATACATCACATTTTTCTATTTCCCCAACCACCACTCTGGTGTGATACATCATATGTTTCTATTTCCCCAACCACCACTCTGGTGTGATACATCACATGTTTCTATTTCCCCAACAACCACACTGGTGTGATACATCACATGTTTCTATCTCCCCAACCACCACTCTGGTGTGATACATCACATGTTTCTATTTCCCCAACCACCACCCTGGTGTGACACATCACATGTTTCTATTTCCCCAACCACCACTCTGGTGTGATACATCACATGTTTCTATCTCCCCAACCACCACTCTGGTGTGATACATCACATGTTTCTATTTCCCCAACCACCACTCTGGTGTGATACATCACATGTTTCTATTTCCTCAACCACCACTCTGGTGTGATACATCACATGTTTCTATTTCCCCAACCACCACTCTGGTGTGACACATCACATGTTTCTATTTCCCCAACCACCACTCTGGTGTGATACATCACATGTTTCTATTTCCCCAACCACCACTCTGGTGTGATACATCACATGTTTCTATCTCCCCAACCACCACTCTGGTGTGACACATCACATGTTTCTATTTCCCCAACCACCACTCTGGTGTGATACATCACATGTTTCTATTTCCCCAACCACCACTCTGGTGTGATACATCACATGTTTCTATCTCCCCAACCACCACTCTGGTATAATACATCACATGTTTCTATTTCCCCAACCACCACTCTGGTGTGATACATCACATGTTTCTATTTCCCACTGATTAGCAGAAGGCATAGATCATCGACAATATTAATTTGACACTTTATTTTCACGTGCACGGGGATTCACGGACAGACAGTGTGACTTCTGGTAGATGACCGAAAACCTCAGTCATTTTCGGCGGCATGGCCGAAAGTCTCAGTCAATTTTAGCCGAAACCGAAATTAAACTGAAAGTTAACTTTTCTCTTTCGGC